CTTTCATCCATAGATGTAATGTCCCTGCAGACCATCTCTAAAAAAACTGCAATGTTCTTATATTCCTTAATTTGTGTGGTAAATTTACTTTTAGGTCTAAGGTTAGTATTTTGCATGGTATTTGGTTCTAATCCCTCACCAAAATTGAGAAGTTCCACTAATGTATCTAGACAATCTAGATCATTAACACTAAGACCTAGGCTTTGAGCTTTATGAGCCTTTCTTATAGAGTGGTACTTATGGAGAGCCAATTTGCGGGCAAAGAGATGTAAATCCATTGTCCAAATAAATGTGTTAAATTGTGGTATGGAGACAAATGATAAACCTTTTGTAAGAGTCTGTATCTGTATGTTTGTCAGGGTAATTGAGGATAGGTTAACAACTTGAAGGGTTTTGGTGGTTAGTAGCGGTGTTTCCGTGGGCCCCTGTTCCTTTGTGATTGTCTCTTTGGACCCTGGAATTCGTCTGCCTGTTTGAGGCCTAAAAAATCAACCCCCTTTTCCAAAATGCTTTTTGGTGTTGGGTTAGTGTTCACGTTGGTTATGTTAGTGGATGTATTCAGTATGGTTTCTCCTTCCGTGTCAGTGGAATCATACTCTGAGGTGCTAAAATGGTCCGAGTCTACCCGCACTCTCTTTTTGAATAAACGGTATACTCATCCAGACTCAAAATCTGAAGTGTCCCTCAGAAATTTTTGATTTTTTTTTGTCTTAATACTGAGATATTAGTAATTGTGTGTAGGGGGCAAGTTGCACCTCCAGCACACGTGACACTGGCAGCCCAGAACTCTATATTAAGTACTGCCACTGTCAATTCTGTGCATAAAATATGTCTGTCGTCAGTGCGCACTACACACTGTCCACAGATGTGATAATTGGCCCCTTTCAGGCAGTGTGCTTGTTGGGGGAAGCTAGCTCTCCCTTCCCATCCTGTGAGTGCTCCCTTCCCCCTAACTCCATTGCAGGGTCTTTTATTTATTTATTTTAAAAATAAACCATCCCTCCTTTCCACTCCATCCCTCCTTTTCTGTCCCCTTGCAGGCCCGGAGTGCGCATATGCCCTGTGCCTCCAAATTTATCCAGTCACAGAGTTCTATATGAGAAGCCTGTGATTGGACTGCGGGTGGCCCCATTGACGATGGAGGGTGCGTGGAAGATCAAGGTGAGTACAGCACTTTATTTGGCAGTCTGGAAGGAATTCAGAGAGCAGGAACCTTCTCCATAGTGCCCTCTTTGTCCATTTGCAATGTTTGGAGGTATGGTATAGCATGGGTGTTAAAAATGCAGTAATGTGGGGTAATACCTTCTATCATAATAAAGAAAAGTTTGAAATATTTGATTTGCAAGTAAAGTTAGTATCATAGAAAACATGTCATGCAAATGGTGATAGAATCCTCCTTTCCACAGCGTTCACAGTGCTAGAAAACCAGTAGCTCTTTCTATACTAAAACACTAAGACATGTTATAACTAAATTAACATTGTGCCTTTCTCAAGGATTATTTAGAAACCATTGATTTTCATTATATATGTTTTGATGTCTCTTTATCTATGGTTCTAGTAGGGGTGGGGGGTGAGACATTCCACAGCATTACTGTATTAGGAAGATTACTTTTCATGCTGTCTCAAAGATAATTATTCGTTTTTATTATTATTTTATTATTTATATAGCGCCAGCAACTTCCGTAGCGCTTTACCATGGGATGGACATTAGCGAGTTTTGTATGATTTTTTTTACAGAATTGTTTGTAGGGAGTGCGGTCATCCATAACGGCACATTTAAAAAAAATACATAAACTGATTTATGTGGGCCTGGTATAAAAAAAAAACCCTGCATGTTTAAAGTATAAATACTGAGGCTTATACTCGCTGTGAAATCCAGTATGCTTTGCTAAAGCGTTCATGCTGGGGAATCTAAAAGGTTATTATAGAAAGCCAAATAAGGAAGATTTGCACGAGTTTTTGTTGTAATCTTTCCTCCTTGGTTTTCCGAAGATGTAAACCTGTTGGATAAAATACTTGTAATGTCAAACTAAACCACTGCAGGGGAGTCTGGTTAATCTGCATAGAATCTCACAGTGGACTCAGTAGACTATAAAAGATTGGCTTGGATCCCAATCTGCCTGTAACAGAAACACAGGGAATGACGCTGCATTTATAATAAACATATGTAACACTTAGGGTGTAATGAGTACCATGTAATGTCTTATAAAACTAGCGCTGAGAGTTTGGAGTTCTGTTTACATTGTTCTTCCTTTTTTTTTCTTTTCTAAACTGACATTCCTCTTTGGTAGAGTGATCACAGCAACTATGTGAGCTGTTTTGAAGCATTAAAAGTGCAGTTCTTGATCACAAGGCCACGAAAAGCCTGCAGACTAACGCCACAACCGGGCTCCTGGCAACCCTGAACCCCCCAAAAGAGAGATGGGGCGCAAACATATAAAATTGCTGGCTTCTGAGGCTCCCAAAATGCCAGACATTAGGTGGTCGTTCGATAGGCCGCAACAGCCAGCACAACCTAAGATGGCGCCTAGCAGGCCTCGAGGCTCCAGTGAGTCAGAGATGTCCCTGGACGAGGAGGCACCAGAATCAACACAAGCTCCTAGTGGTATATACAGGAGAGAGGGCTCTGATTCAGATACATTACCCTCTACCAAAGGGGATATCAAAAAGCTCCTGCTCGAGCTCAGAGGAGTCTGGAATAAGGACCTGGAGGAGGTCTGCGGAGAACTAGGCGGCATCAAGGCCCGCATTGGAGCAGTAGAGACCCGAGAAGAGGAACGTAATAACACCCTCGCAGAGACCCGAGCTAATGTAGAGGACCTCTCTCAGCAGCTCCAGCGACTCACCCGCACCGTCACGGCCATGGAGGCTAGACACCACAAGAAAAATATACGCATCCATGGGGTACCCTAAACAGTGGGGCCTGAAGCGGTGCTGGAGTTCGCTAACAAACTGGCTACTGTGATGGAGGTGAGGGGAGAGGGAGGGCTGCCGCCTATGGCGATGGCATTCCACATCCGAAAGGCCGCGACGGCCCCAGTGGACGCCCCTAGGGACATAATCGCTGTCACTAGGAGCACAGCGGTGAAAACGGCTATCCTGACCCGCTCACGGAACACACCCCACACCGCGGTAGATGGCTACCAAGTTAGAATCTTTGACGACTTACCATTTGCGGTCCTATTGGAGAGACGCCAATTCATGCCGACCACCAAACTGCTCAGAGACCACGGAATCAGGTACAGGTGGGGAGCGTTGGGTACCCTGGTGGTGTCGCACGGGGAAGCGGTGCTTTCGCTCTCCGTCACAGATGACCCTACGGACTTTCTGAGGCGACTTTAGTTACCACAGCTGCAGCCTGATCCACTAGGAGCGAACCGAGCTCAGCTCACCCCACGGAGAAACTCCCCACCCAGAGGAGAGGAAAAACTGGCATGGCGGCGGCGGAACGGCATTCTACACAAAAACAACCTCCATAGTGCGGATAACCCTGAAGAGAGATCGCAGCCGAAAGGACTGCCCTTACCCCATATGAACTGCTACCGCAAACCACCAGACTATGAGACTTTAAACTCTTCATGAGACATTACAGGTCACCAGATCTTAAACTTCATACGAGATGTTACAAGGTCATCCCATATAGTTTTTTCCTTTTCCGTTTTTATTTTTTTATTTTTTAATTCTTTATTTTTTCATAGACAATAATAAAGTGCACATTTGTGACATAGCCAAGGCTTTCGCAAAAGCCGCTGTATGAATGTATAATCTTGTCAGGGTATAGGCTTACGCAGAAGCCGCAATAGAGGTACATACATTAATACTGGTATAGGCTTACGCAGAAGACGTTTTCAAGTGGTTCAGTAGTATCAAGATGAAGAGCAATAATCTACAACTGATGTGCATGTTTACTAGCGCTTCCAGTCTCGTCAGTGGTTGATTTGCTATTTTGTGTTTTAGCATACCACCTCTACGTGGCTGTTGATCGGGTCTTGGCTTGAGTACACATGTCACTTTGATTGGCATGGTATTAGACAGTTGTTAACTAATAATCATTTAACATTTCTAAATATTCCTATAGGTAGAACATATATGAAACTAAACCTGGCGTTTAGTGATACGGTAGGTCGGTGTATCCGTGCCCGCAGCCCGGACGAGGGTCGTCGTGTGCCCCCCACGCCTCCCTTCCCATGTGATTTTTTATTTTTTTTATATACCAATATGCATATCTTTAAATCTGCACCAGCTGTCCAAGGGCGGCCCCAAAGAAGATAACATACTGCTCTAAACTGTTTTTTTTTTATTAACTTAAGGCGAGCTGCGAGAATGTCATACTAACATGCATACCATTCACTTTATATGAGCTGTCCGAGGGTTGTCACAACTTGTTTTTAATCAACCCCACAAGAGCAGCTAGTATGTGGTACCAAAAAGGGTCTTAACTTTACATAAAGCAATGTCATGTTTTACCAAATCGTGAATTCCTAACCCTAGAGAGCTATACTAATTGATATATTCCTCACTCTACTTGTGCTGTCAGGGAGTTATACATAATCGGGCATTCTCAGCCCCGCAGGAGCTGCAAACTTGTCATACCAAAATGTCTTGATTGTTTATGTTTATGGCCTCACTCCATATGTGTCACGGGCGGGCCGCACCTGCCACCGTACCAACCCGGGTCCGAGACATGGGCACTAAGTACCCAAGATAGAGGGGGACCACAGCGGGGGTACAAAATGGATGGGGGGAGATGGCCTCCATGAGAAACACAGAAGGGGGAGCGGGGGAGATAGACAGGACACCAGTGGGTGACAAACCGGGACCAGACACACAATCAGGCACTACATCCAACAAAGGATCCGGGGGACCTCTCATCCCATTAATATAACTGCAAGGGGACAGTCCACGGACATGCCCCACCAATTAACAGCGGGGGACGCATTGAGAGACATCTGGGTGACCCGAATACAAAAAAACGAAAAGAGACTGAAGGAGAAGAGAAAGTGAAGAAGTGCAAGGGTTAGGAGGCACATGTACCACACTATAGAACAGGAGAGACACCCACGACTGAGGAGAAAAGAAAGAGTGGACCTCACGGGGACACATAAGGGGACCCACACAGTAACCTAATGGCCTAACCACAGGGGGCCCATCTGCTCAGTCGCAATTGACTATTGTATGCCACTAAAGTATAACGATGCTTGCTTCTTATGTTTGTATTATACCTTTATATGTTTGCTTTATATCTTTTTGAACTGGAAATTGTATACTATCACCATAACCCATGGAAATCTTCCACAACAAAAATAAAGAATTAAAAAAAAAAAAAAGTGCAGTTCTTGCTGTGGAAGAAAAAAAAGTGTGTCTAAATTCTCTTAATTTTCTACTGTGTGTTTGTATTTGGCTTTCACCTGACCGTTATGTTTTATTCTCCCTCCCCCCAACCCCTCCATGAATATGATTCTCCCCCCTCCTAGATCCTCCACATGTCTCTTATCCCCCACTCCCCGTCCATGTAGGAGTCTTACCCCTATCCTCCTCCCCCCCCATACCTGCTTACTTCCAAGTAGTGTGGCTGAGTTGACTGTGGTACTTGGTGTGACAGAAAATGCTTGTTGCTCTCAGTGAGCACTTCCTGTCAGACCACGTTCTACTCGGCCACGCTGCATGCAATGACTGGCAGGAATGGAGCACTGTGCTGTGCGCTCCCCTCCTGCCAGTCACCCGACAACTGCATACTCGGGACCGGTGTGGTTGTGCACCGCCCGGACGTAATGCAGGCAATTTCCCACTATCCCGGTGGGCCAGTCCAACCCTGTGCATCACCACTGGTCAACAGGGCAGCCAGGTCCCCTGGAGTGAAAGGCCTGGTTGGAGCTGCGACCCCTGCAACCTTGGTAGTTCTGCCACTCCATCCTCTGTATGAGCCCCCTGTCGCCATCCCATGGTAAGTAGTCAAACTATTTTAGTATAGTTTGAAAACTTATCGCCTCCAGGCACCTACACTGCAACCAGTATTCTCTAATACAGGGGTGCCCAAAAAGGTAGATCCCCAGATGTTTTAAAACTATAACTTCCATGTTACTTTGTCATTCTAAAGGCAGGCAAAGCATCATGGGAGCTGTAGTTCTACAATATCTGGGGATCTACCTTTTAGGCACCCCTGGTCTAACAGATAAAGTTGGTTTTCTATGTCTAGTAAATCATGGCTGATGCAGGGCTGCAGTGATTGGCTGAGAGTGCTCAGCTGGTACTCTCAACAGGAGATGCAGACATGGTTTCCCAACGTGACTCAAGAAAGTTGTTAAACCATTCTAAAACTATCTGACTACTTACTGTGGACAGCGCCAGGGCTCTCTTGGCGCCACAACTCCTATAGCAGGATGCAGTGGTTATGGAACATGGAGTGTCCTCTTAATCAGTTTATAAGTGTAGCTGAATCACAAATTTTCATTTAATACAGTTTATTGGAGAGCCAGGTGAGTAATACAGTTTATTGGAGTGTCAGTAGCCTTGGTCAAACTGTTTTAAAGAGGATCTCCTATCATGTACTCAAAAAGCCTATTCCCTCTAAAAAAAATTTTTTAAAAAGTGTGCTGCTGTGAAAATATAGCTGCACCATTAAGTATATGTATCTATGTGTAAAATGTATATTTCTGCAATTGTACTGTATAGATGCACACTATGAAGCACAACTGGTCAAGTGTCATTTACTTCCTTTGTGGAGGAGCAAGTAATACAGTGTTTGTTTATTAAATATCATTCTTGCACTAGGTTTGCTTACTGTAAACCTGCAGATATGATGGAAAGGAATCTGCTCCAGGCGGACATTTTGTTACATCATGAAACATATTGCCTAACCCCATTTCTCTCGAAGCGCATGCTAGGCAGGTATTGGACTATAATATTAATTATTATTAATATTTTCTCTTATAATTGCTACTTTAATTTTATTAATTATTAAACTGTTAATAGCTCCAGACTGATTCCTCTTCTGCAACTGTCACTAGTCTGATACTATCCTTACCTTTTTGTGTCATTTTACCCCACTCCCTCTAGCATGTAAGCTCATTGAGCAGGGCCCTCAACCCCTCTGTTCCTGTGTGTCCAACTTGTCTGGTTACAACTACATGTCTGTTCGTCCACCCATTGTAAAGCGCTGCAGAATTTGACGGCGCTCTATAAATATCATAATAATAATAATAAATTATCAGGCAGAAAAAAAACACCACATATATTAATAATCAAACATTCCTTTAAGGAGGTTGAAGAAGGAGATTCCACAGAGTTTCATGGGATATCTCAGCCATGAAGCAAGTAAGCAGAAGCCTAATGCACAGCCTTCCAAGAGTCGTTGGCATAGCTATAGGTTTCTATAAATGTCTGACAATAATTGAAAGTCAGTATTGGTGGGTGTATTACAGTGCTGCGGTGTAACTACATCAGTCGCAAGGGTTGCGGCTGCGACTGGGCAGATCAACAGCCCTGTCAACCCCTTTTCCTTTGAAAAAGCCTTCTGTATAGGTGAAACGCGTTAGTGTGTTACTTACTTTTCTTTTTATTTGGTTAATAAAATTAATCTGCATTGTACCCCTGGACCTTCATTGGATATCTTTTATTGGAGAATCTGTATCTCACATCCCAGGGTGGGGGAAAAAAACAACCAATGCTGTAAAGGACTGCAAATGCCATCTACAGGGCGAGTGAAAAACATAGCCATGAAGTTCACTCCCCCTGTAGATGGCATTTGCCATCATTGTTTTCCCCAACCAAGATGGCCGCTGGGACTAACACCCTGCACTTGGTGTTCCCTATTACACTGCATATCAAGGTCGGCAAATGCCGTTTTTTTGCCGACCTCGCATTTACAACACCGGGAACTACATTTCCCATCATACCAAGCGACCGGTAAACATACCCGCTTCAAAAAGCCATAACCACTTACTACATGCATGTTTTTTAAAGGACCACTCTAGGCACCCAGACCACTTCAGCTTAATGAAGTGGTCTGGGTGCCAGGTCCTTCTAGGGTTAACCCATTTTTTTATAAACAGCAGTTTCAGAGAAACTGCTATGTTTATAAATGGGTTAATCCAGCCCTCAAATCCTCTAGTGGCTGTCTCATTGACAGCCGCTAGAGGCGCTTGCGTGCTTCTCACTGTGATTTTCACAGTGAGAGCACGCCAGCGTCCATAGGAAAGCATTATGAATGCTTTCCTATGACCGGCTGAATGCGCGCACAGCTCCGCGCGTGCGCATTCAACCGACGGGGCGGAACGGAGAAGGAGAGAAGGAGGAGAGCTCCCCGCCCAGCGCTGGAAAAAGGTAAGTTTAAACCCCTTTCCCCCTTCCAGAGCCGGGCGGGAGGGGGACCCTGAGGGTGGGGGCACCCTCAGGGCACTATAGTGCCAGGAAAACGAGTATGTTTTCCTGGCACTATAGTGGTCCTTTAAATTAAATATGCTGCTATTGGTCCACAAGCCAATATAAATCAATATGTACCACTGTTTGCTTTATTTATAATGTATATAGTAATGATGTTTGCTAAATGGAGGACAGCCAATGATGTAATTTTGGCACCAGTTTCAAACTACTTTTCCCCTATACAAACTCCTACTAGCCAGGTTGTATGTTTTTATACCATTTGAAAAAGCCTATATCGGTGAAATGTGTTATGGTAATTTTTCGTTGTGTATTTTAGATCAATAAAAGTTTTTTGGTTACTTTGCTGTGCCAAATCTTATTTTTATTGTATTTTTATGCACTTTTATTATGTTTAATTTTCCTGGCATTTTATCATTCCTGTACTCAAAGAAATCCAAGGTGGGGATCATACCACCTGTTGGGATCATTTTACACTGCAGGGCAAAGCGTTCCATGCACCTCACTTTTGGACCGAACGTTCGGGGACAGCCTTTCAGTGATACACAGACAACATGTTTCAATTTGGGCTACTACCAGTGTATTATTGGTCAGGCAAACATATTTATAGACAGAAGTTACAGCAAAAGTAACATGACAAGATTACATCAGCTAAACACGATATTGCTTATTCAGCAACCAACATATATTTCTGTAGCCAGAGGTTAAAAGGTTATTTCTTTGATCTGAAACAGGTTTTACTTTTAAGCTGACATTTAACAATTGTTATTTTTAATAATATAGTCTTTTAATAATAGAGTTGGCCATAGCTCTTTTAAATGTAAGTTTTCTACCTCCTATTTTTTGCACTTTGGATTTTAGACGTATTGCACTATTGGTTGCCTCTGTCTCTCTGTTTTCCATATAACGAACATCCTGAGACATTTTGACGTACCTATCTCCACTGAAGTATCCCTGACTATCTATTGCTGCTCTAGTGAGATTTTTGGGACTATTTTACTTTATTTTATTCTATTTTCTGCTGGCGTAGCCCTACTCCATCTTTTCATATTGCTTTCTCTATTTGTTGAAGGATCTGAGGGGTTTCCTTTGTTTGGGTTGCTGCCCATTTACATATTGTCTGTTAATTAGCGCTGACTTCCTGTTGTTTTGTGTGTACCTAATGATGTATACCCTGCCCACTCAATAATATGAGAACAACACAAACCAAGAGAGCCATGCCGGCTCGGACGTTGCCTGGATTAACAAGGTCCACATCAGATGCTAGGGAGCCAGGGCAATCCGACGACAAGTGGGCTACTGGAACAAATCATTATTGGACACAGAGAGAGAACCTAGACCTGCTTGAATGCTACTACAACAGCAGACCCAATGAGAGAGGCTACATGAAACGTATGTGGGAGCTATGGATGAATAAGAGACCATCATCTACCCTAACACCAAAATAGCTGGTTACACAACGTTTGAACATCTTCAAGAGAAATCTAGTGTCACAACAGGAAATAAATGGACTACAGAAGAAATCAACCATATACAATTAGGAGGAAGAAATGCCCATACCCACATTCTTACCTGCAGAGAATTGTCAACCTGAAGCCATACCCCAAGATGGCATAACAACAGATATAAGGGAAATGTTCCTAGAAAACCTAGCAGTAGTAGTTAACCTGCGGACAAGACTGCCGAAGATCACTGGAAAGCAACCACCAGACAGCATACTAGCTGCAGTTAATGAAGCATTGTCCACAATCCCATCCTGCACCATTACAGAAACGAACAGGCTCATATATGCCACAGCATTAGTGGTCCTCCAGCTACTTGACTACAAGATCAAGCTCAAAGAGAAGCAATGCCCACCATGGAGACTATGACTGGAAGCCAAGATAAAGACAGCACGGAAGGAAGTTAGTAAGCTGGATC